AAGTAAAACACAAAAGCAAAGTAAATACCACACAACGATTAAACGTGGTTCAGTCAAACCGACCTACATCCACAGGGCCACGCCCAGACATCAAGCAATCCACTAATAGGTACAAAGTTACAGACACCAATCGGACTTAACCAACCCAAGACTCCCACTTGACTATCGACGCCGCTGTGTCTAACACACTAAGTGACTAGCTTGGTGAGCACCACTCATCTTCAAATGCCTTCTCCCGAAAGCTCACAAAATCTTCTCTCAAAGAACAAAATCGATGAACGCTATATCTCTTCAACTTGTGTACTCCGTACTTTATCAGAATTGTAATCCCACAGTAGATTTCTCGTGCAGCAACCTTTTATAAACTGATCTTAATTCAAAATCAGAATCTGTCTCAGAATCTGTAGTTACAGATAAGACAGTTATCAGTTTAAAATTCAAAGCACGTAATCTGCTTTGCATATTCCAATTTCAGTTTCCTTGACCCAGATTCTCAGCACTCCAATCTCTTTTTAGATGATATCTTGATCTTCAAAACAAATTCATCATGAAATACGGTTTTGAATAAACCTCTTATTCAAACTAAAACAAAATCTATAACAGATATTTGTTTCAATTTCAAATCCTGGTTTAAATCAAAATAGCAACACAATCTTGATCTTCTCCACGAAATCCTCAGAGCCTTATCTTAATTCAAAATGGTGAGGCTGATTTCTTCTATTTGAATGAACCCAAAAGCTGATCTTCTTCTATTCAAACGAACCCAATGAATTCGAGAAACTAACTCGAGATTTTGTCAAAACGCACAACGTTACTTAAGGAACCAAACGACTCAAACAAAAGCTGTACGGCACTTCTGCAGCAACTAATATACTGCTTTCAAAACGTAAGTTTTGCTTGACACTTTCAAAATAAACAATCCAAACATGAAGCCCAATTAAGCCAACTAAAACCCAAAACATAAAAAGAGAGCCAAAACGACTTACACGACTCAACAGAATGGGCCTACATTCATCATAGGAAATAATGCCGAATGAGGCTAAAAAGATTTAGGATGGGTTGGTTGTTCAAAATTTAGTTATTAATATTATGTGGAAGGAGAAATGAGGGATCAGACCATATCCATTATGAATCTAACGACAAAATGTTGTGTTTTCATGTCCTTGTCCGTGGCAGGTATGACAAGAATTAAAGGATTGAAGAGGAAGATTTCATCTGGTGAAACGAGGACCGAGACTGGCGGAGGTTCATCGAGAGGTTGTGAAGATGGACTCGATAGTGGCAGTTACAATGGGACAACGAATGTAGATGATAGCAAACTACAGAAAAGCATACAAGTGCGCTGCTCTCCTAGTAGGTTTGTGAAAGTGTGTTCTGGGTTGAATGATAGGTTTAGAAATGTAGTTAAGGCCATGGTTTTGGGAAACTTATTGGAAATCACTAGTGTGCATATATGTCACAATTTGGTAGCGTGGTTGGTTGAGAACTTTAACGTGGACGATCGATCCCTTGTGCTTAATGGGAAGACATTCACTGTTAATCCGGCTTTGTTTGAAGCAGTGATGGGGTTGGGAGATGGTGGAGAAGATTTTGAACGACAAGGCACGGCAGATGATGTGAAAGTTAGGAAGGAAGGGGTTAAGGGAGGTAAAGAGGAAAGAGGAAAGAGATGCATATATGAGCAGAGATAAAGAGGAAAGAGAGAATTTTAGATTTTTTTCCTTCTTTTTTTTTTTAGAAATTCTTTTGGTTATTTTATATCTTAATTTTTAGTTTTTTGTTGAGAAAACAAAATCTTGTTGAATATGAAAAATAACTAGCAAGATATGGAAAACAACTTATAGAGTATGAAAAGATAATCTACATGATATGAAAACAAAATTTATAGACTATGAAAAAATAACCTACAGAATATGAAAGAAATACGAAAATGAAAAGATAACTTGTAAGATGTTAGTAGTATTTGATAAATTTAAAAACAATAGCATAAATAAAATAGTGTTACCTCTTTAATTTTTTTTTTTTGAAAATTTCCCATTTTAAAATGAAAAGGAAAATAAGTCACTCTTCTTCTTCTCTCTCTCCCTCTCCATCTATCAGATTTCTTTCTTTTCTTTGTGCGCTGCTCGCTTTTCTCTTTTTGGGCCGAGTATGGCGCTGCCTCTTGGCTGGTCGTTGGACCCCTAGCCCCAGAGACGAAGTTCCAAGTCTCGTGGCAATGATTATGATGGTGGTGGCGACTTCATGGATGGATGGGAGGGATAAGAGGTGTTGAATTTTTGGTCGACCATGTTATGCATGCCAGATCTCCTGCGTATCTATAATCTTAAGATCTCACTCTTCTCATTACAATGGTCATAAATGGGAGAGTTGTGTGTGGATGAGCGCTCAACGTCGGTAGTGGAGTCATGTGGGTCCTCGCCGATCTATCCTTTATGATTTTGGTCGCCATCTTATCGCCGAGGATCTTGTCTGTGTGGCTGAGGAATTTTATCTTGTTTTTAATTTTATATTTTGATGTAATTAGGCGATGGTGATTTTGTCATTTTAGCTTTTATGTTTTCGTCATGTAATAACGAAAATTATTGTTTCACCTTTCTATGGCGGTGGTAGATTTATTCCGTTAGATTTGATGCTACGCAATGTTGTGAGTGACCCTAGTGCTTTGGGTTTTGGTCTCAGTTGATTGCTTTTATCCATCGATTATAGTGGTTTTGTTAAATGAGCTTTTATTGCGCTCAATGTGCAAAGCGAGACTTTCTCTATTAGGACTTGGCACTCGTATTTGCCTTGTGCCTCATTTATCTTTACTATGGATACAATTTTTATCCGTGATCAAATACTCTTGTATTTTATGGTCATTTACGATTATTTTAGAGCCTATATTAATTTAATTATTAAATGAAATTTCTCTATTCAAAAAAATTTCCATTTTTAATTAACGTGCATGACACATGACAATTTTAATACAAAAATCAATGAAAGGATTAAATACCTAAGCGAACGAAATTGACACTTGATTGAAAGATCTAAAATTCAGGTGGAGAAAACAAAATTGTCCTTTTCCTTTTATATAATTCTGTATGCATCGTTGTAATTTCATATTTGAACATTGAAAAAACAAAATAAAACGACTTTTAACACGCACGACAAAACTTCCAGTTTAGTGTCTTATCTTGTAGAGAAGTGTTTGAACAAACTAATAAAGGGACTGTTCGGCAACTCTGTTTTTGAGTGAAAACTTTAAAAAAAGTAACTCGAGTTATAACTTTATTTGAGTTTATGTTTTTTTAAGTTTGAACTCGAGTTTGGGACTAAAACTCGAGTTTAAGTTTCCCCTTCAATTCGAGTTCAGAAACTCAAACTCAAGTTAATGAACAATATTTTTTCTGTTCTTAAAAATGCTATAACTTTTTCGTTTTAATTATGATTGAGATGATTTTTTTTCTATGCGTTGACAACGAAAAGACGAATAAAACCATACCCATATACCCTATTAAAATTTTTCATCAGCGTTGAGTTTTTATTAAAATACTATCTAAATACAAATTCAAGTTTTGACTTACTCAAACACAAACTCAAAAAGATTCTTATCTCAAACCATAACTCAAATGTACACAACCAAACACAAACTCAAGTTACAACTTCAACTCAAGTTATCACTCAGACTCAACTCAAAATCTACACTTAAATTACATAACTCAAAAATGTCAAAAGAACATGCCCCAGAATTCGGTTCAATTTGAAACTTCAATATTATTAACTTAAAAAGGGGTGGTTTCTTGTTCCTTTATTTGTTGTCTCAACCTCGTTTACTTTGCAGATTCGAGTTTTCAATTCGAGCTGAGATGTGATATTTTATGAAAATTTTTTTACTGTAGCAGAAAAAGTTAAATGTGACATTTTTTAAGAGTTTTTTTTACTGTAAAAATATAAAATTAAAAATTAATCGGTAAAATAAACGAGACCTTAAAATTGAATATTATTTTTGGCTATTCTTGACGTAGATGGAAATGTAACAAAATTTATATATCAAACCCTTTTTTGGCTTTCCTTCCTTTTATTACTTTTTGCTCCTATTTGCAAGTTCATTAACGCGTATCAACAAAATCCTTAGCACATCAATAGAAATCTGATCCTAACGAACCTTCTCGTTACAATTGCCAAAGCCCCCGGCACTTTCGTTGTCCATGCCGTATGTCTTGTGCCTAACTAAAAAAAAAAAATATCTCTCAATAGGCAAAACCGTGTACGCAACTTAAGAAACCCCATGTCATTTGCCAACTAATCACACTTCAATTTGCAACCAAATTTTAGCAACACATACAACAAAAACGACTTGAACACGGCTGTACAAAATAATAAAAGTAAAAATAAAATTAAAAAATAGAGTTTCTCTGGCTTTGAACTCTATGGTTAAATTCACGTTAGATTATAAAAGTATATAAAATAGATAAATTTTAATAAATATTTAACGTTTAAAAAATAAAAAATACAAATGTTCTAAAAAAAGAAAGAATCCCAAAGAAAGTTTCTAAAAAAAAGAGATGTTTTCAATAAAGCCTCTTTATACTAGTTTTTAACTATTAAATTTAGTTAAAATCACATTAAATAAAAAAATATGAAGAATAAATAGTTTATGATATAGATAGACGGTTAATATTAAAAAATTATCGATAGATTTTTTTTTGGCAACCTCTATAGTGGAACTTTATTTTTTAACCGTTTGATTAATTTTTTAACGGTTTGATCTGTATTAAAAATTTATTATAAAATTACTCCTACTGTAAATTTAATCGTTAAAAAATTAATCTAACAGTTAAAAATATAATTTTTTTTTGTTTTTTTTTTAATCTTACGGTAAAAATGCTTTTTTTTTGTTTTTTTGTTTTTGTTTTTTTTGCCCTCTTAGACAAAGCCACGGAAAAACTGCTAGTTGTGTCTCAATTAGTGCCACTTGTAGCCCCTGTCATCACTTCTGTGGCTTCCAAGTCCCCTTTTTTAAAAACCCAAATCCAAAAGCAACTTCCATTTCACCCAATTAAGCAAACTCCATACCCTACATATCCTGTTGTTTACGTGTTTTGATTTTAAGGAAAGACTTAAAAGAGCCTCCTTTAAGAGTTTGTTCATCAGAATTTAGCACTCTCTCTCTATTTATACTTGGATAATAGATCTAGTTTTTGTTTATAGCTATACCAGAAAAATGGCAAATCTTCCTGAAGAGTTGGTGGTGGAGATCATGTCATGGCTTCCACCAGAATCTCTAATCCAATTCAAGTGTGTTAGCAAGAATTGGTACTTCCTCATCAATTCTTTGATCAAAGATCCAAATTTTGTATCCAAACACCTCCGCAATGCCGATAACAACATATTGGCATCCCGCTGCACTGTCTTCAGTTGCCTCAAAATATACCAAACCCCGGTTTACAACTACAAAGAGCTCTTTTCATTGCTCTCATTGTCTGGCGGCGGCGGCGGCGGCAGCGGCAACGACAAGATTCGTTCTTTCGCCGAGGATTTGGATCTGCCGATAATCCCCGGCGAAAAGGACATGAGCTGTATAACGGCTCGTCATTGCAACGGCGTGATTTGCTTGGCTGACTATTACCGCACCATGGTTTTGTGCAACCCGGCGATGAAGAAATCCCGGGTGCTTCCGAAGCCTAATCTCGTCGATCGCTTCGTGCTGCAAGGCGTCGGGTTCGGGTACGATTCGAGGGCTGATGACTACAAGGTTGTCAGATTCGGGCGTGAGATGTCTGTCTACCCCCGGGCCGAGGTGTACAGCTTGAGCTCGGATTCATGGAAAGAGATCAAGATTGATTCGGGCACGGATTACTTTCCGAGCCTTCACATTGAAGTGTACTTCAATGGGGCTTTCTATTGGCTAATGTCGGGGCCGAGGGCGATGATCCGGGTGTTCGACATTTCGGACGAGGTCTTTCGCGGCGTGCCGCTGCCGGACGGGGTCCGGACGGAGAAGGCGCATTGGACGAGCCTTGTGGTTTGGAATGGCTCTGTTGCCCTGTTCTTGTGTGAGGGGGAGAAAGGGGTTCCAATTAGTATTGAAGTGTGGGTGATGAATGATTGTGTTGGTGGGATTAAAGGGGCCTGTTCTTGGAGCAAAAAGTTGGCAATTGGGCCCTTTGAGGGCATTGATTGCCCATTGGGATTTTGGAATGGTGAAGAGATTCTCATGAGAAGTACAAATTTTAAGGAGATTGTGCTCTACAATATTCATACACAAAAGCTTAGGAATGTTAGTGTTGATGGGGTTGATGGAATTGGTTGCCGTGCTTTTTCTTATGTGAAGAGTTTGGTTTCCGTCTAAGGTGGAGGAGATGTGAGGGGGGAAAAAAAAAAGTGTTGCTTATTTATTTATTAGTATTTTAAGTGGGATTTGAGTTCTGCACTTTGAAGGGGAATTGGTTGTAGCAATACCTAGATTATGCGTGCAATCATTAAAAGTGTTCCTTATTATTATTTTATTATTATTATGTGGAAATTATCATTGTTCCTATTATTATTATGAAGAAATTATTATTATTATTATTACTATTATTGTTATTATAATGTACAGAAGTGAGAGGAGTGAGTGCGTTTGTTTGTTAGTTTTCAATTTCATTCATGTATCTTGGTTCGTTTGTACTACAAGTTAACTTAATACATATTTGTTCTTCTTGTTTAAGAGTCTTGTTTGGCTTCCACATTCTTCTCCAAATAGACCTTTATGCTATGTTTGGTAAGAAGGAAAGAAAATAGGATAGAAAGGATTTATGGAAGTGATGGAAAATAGCAATGATGGAAAGAAAATTGATTTTTTTTTATGTTGTTTGGTACGAGAAGATAGAAAGAAAATGAGCTTACCTTCACTTGTTTGATATTGGAAGTTAAATTGAAAGGAAAGAAAAAATCTTATTCGTAAATTACTTTTATACCCTTAAATTTTTTGCTTGGATGTTGATAGAGAAAATGGTAGTTTAGTAACTTTGCTCACTTTAATGAGTTACCCCTATTTTCCATATCATTTTCTACCCACTTGTGAAAAAAAAAAAAAAATAGTGGAGTCCACATGTATTATTTTCCTTTCTATTTTCTCTTCCTTTCTCTTTTCTCTCCTACTAAACAACCTACATTTTTATTTTTCCTCCCAAAATCCCTCCACCTTCTTCCTTCCTTCTACTTTTCTTTCCTATCAAACATACTCTTAAGTTACGTTTGGTTAGAGGATTTAAACTATTTTCGATTTACGTGTATTTTTTTTGAAAAAAAATACTGTAACAAATCACGAATCATGATTTGAATTAAAGAACGAATCTCTTTACCAAACGACCTCTTAGTTTTGCCGCCGTTTCTGGTATTTCCATTGTTTATTGGTCTGACTAAAGTACCTTATATATACTGGAGGAAAAAAAAAATTGTGAGTTTAATACAACTTGGCTTGGCTTCAACTTTGGTTTACTAAAAACTAAAAAGGGACAATGGTACAACATGTCAATGCTATTGTGAAGGAGGGTGGTCCCTCTTTTTCTTTTTCTTTTTATTCTCATGAATAAATAAATTAGAGATTATTAATAGTTATGCCCCTTAATTTTGAGTCCACTACCACTTTGCTCTCCAACTTTCAAAATTCTCACCACACTACCACAAACTTTGATTTCATTCGACTTTACCCCTTCCGCTTCATTTTCCGTTAAAAGGAGACTGAACAAACTCACGTGCGGTCAGGTGAGGGATAGTTGAGGGTAAATAGGTAAATTTAATTCTCTGCCCTTTCTTCCCAAATTATTTTGGGGGTTTTCTTCACCACACAAATTTGTCGAAGTTAGTATATCTTGGAGGACTAAAATAACGTCTCTAATGGAACCGAACCTCTTAAAAGAAACTCTTTCACAAAAGAATGCTGAGAAAATGAGAGGGTAAAGGGAAAGAAAGCAAAGATTTATAGAGAGAAATTTCCGGGATAAGGATAGAAAATGAGGAAGGACTCGTCGAGGAAGTGGAAGTTGTCTGTTTCGGCATTTAAGTGGACGGCACTTTTGAGAAGTTTTTCGTTGATCCTTTGTTTTCTCCTACGCTGGTAGTTTAATATGTTGCTATATTATATTTGAGAATGTGAGCCAGAAAATAAAAAGAAAATGAAAAAAGGAAAGAAAGAAAGTTTGAGAGGGAAGAGAAGGTGGGCTGTGCTCTTGATGGAAAAGATCAATGGCTTGTGATTAGCATCAAAAAATGAACTTTTTTTTTTCGTTTAAATGGGCATTGTCAAGATTGTAAGATTTGTGGGAGTTCAAGTCTTCAAGATCACCTTCCTTCTCTGAGTCGTAAGAGTTCAAGATCTTGGGCATTATCAGGATGAACTTTGTGATTATTTTGCTAATAAATTGGAGATGTTTAGAGTAAAAACGAAGCTGATGAACTTTTTTTTTTTTTTATTCCAAGTCTGTTTTCAACAGAAAATGAAACGGAAGGGACAAAGTGGAACGAAATCAAAGTTTGAGGTATTGTGGTAGGAATTTTAAAAGTTTAGTGTACAAATGGGAGGAGACTCAAAGTTCCAAGGGTACAGGTGTTAATAGTCCATAAATTAAATTGAACGGAAATGACGGTGCGTTGTTTTCTCCCGGGTTGTGTGCGAAAGTGATTTGGCCCAGTTGGTAGCAGCTTCGGATGTTCCCCCGAACCTCCAACCGAAGATCAGATCAATCATGACAGATGTTCAGCAG